ATAAACTGGATCCAAATAAAACGTCTTTTTGCCACACAATAATCAAAACACTAAACATACAGAGTAAAGGGAGAACATTAAGAGCTGCAAAGAAAAAAGGCAAGTAACATAGCAGACCTATCAGAATTACACCTGACTTTTCATTGGAGATAATGAAAGCCAGAAGGTTGTGGTCAAGCATTATGCAGACATAAAAAGACCATAGATGTCAGCCCAGACTACTATACCAAGCAAAACTTTCAATCACCATAGAAGGACAAAACAAGATATTCTATGACAAAGCTAAATTTCACCGATACCTAGACACCAACCCAGCACTACACAAAAACTAGAAGAAAACGCAAACCCAAGGAAGCTGGCTATACCAACAAAAACACAGACAATTGATGATCTCATAGCAGCAAACCCCAAAGAAGGGGAAAACGCATAAATTAACATCACCAACAATGAAAATAAATTAACAGGAGATAGCAATCACTGGTCAGTAATATCCCGTAATGTAAATGGACTCAACTCACCTATAAAAAGTCAAAGGCTAACAGATTGGATACAAAAATAGAATCCATCCTTCTTCTGCATTCAAGAAACACATCTCAACCTCAAAGACAGACATTGTCTCAGAGTAAAGGGTTGGGAAAAATATACTAATCAAATGGACCTAAGAAACAAGCAGATGTAGTTATTCTAGTATCTAACAAAATAGACCTAAATTAAAATCAGTCAAAAGAGACAAAGAAGGTCATTTCATATTAATCACAGGAAAAATCCATCCAGAGGAAATCTCAATACTGAACATCTATGCCCCAAATACAAGGGCACCCTCACATGTAAAAGAAACACTTCTAAGGCTTAAATCATACATTAAACTTCCCACACTAATAGTGGGAGACTTCAACACTTCCTCCTCACCACTGGACAGGTCAGTCAGACAAAAAATGAACAGAGAAAATAAGAGAACTAACAGATGTTATGATTCAAATGACTTAACAGACATCTACAGAATATTCCATCCAAACATACAAATATATACCTTACTCAGCACAATGAAAGCAGTGTTAAGTGGAAAGTTCATAGCCCTAAATACCTACATAAAGAAGCTGGAAAAATCCCACACTAGTGAATTAACAGAACATTTAAAAACTTTAGAACAAAAAGAAGCAAACTCATCTAAGAGAACTAGACAGCAGGAAATATTCAAATTGAGAGCTGAAATCAACAAAATAGAAACAAAGAAAACAATATAAAAAAATCAATGAGACAAAGAGTTGGTTCTTCAAGAAAATCAACAAAATAAATGAAACTTTATCCAAACTAACCAAAAGGCAGAGAAGAATATCTAAAATCAGAAATGGAAAGGGGGACATAACAACAGACATGGAGGAAATACAGAGAATCATCAGGTCATATTTCCAAAACCTGTACTCCACAAAATTGGAAAACATAAAGGAAAAGGACAACTTTCTGGATAAATCTCATTTACCAAAATTAAATAAAGACCAGATATGCAAATTAAGCAGACATATAACTGCTAAAAAAATAGAAACAGTCATCAAAATTCTCACAACCAAAAAAGCCCAAGACCAGATGGTTTCAGCTCAAAATTCTACAAGACTTTCAAAGAAGAATTAATAATAATACTTGTCAAATTATTCTACACAATAGAAACAAAAGGAACAATTCCAAACTCTTTTTATGATGCTACAATTACCCTGATAACCAAACCACAAAAAGATATTACTAAGAAGGAGAATTTGCAGACAAATATCACTCATGAACATTGATGCAAAAGTACTAAATAAAACACTGGCAAATTGAATTCAAGAAAATATCAGAACCATCATCCACCATGATCAAGTCGGCTTCATCCCAGAGATACAGGGATGGTTCAACATACAAAAATCTTTCAATGTAATCCACCATATAAACAAAATGAAAAACAAAAACCACATGATCACCTCATTAGATGCCAAAAAAGTTTTCTACAAAATACAACATCCCTTCATGATAAAGGTCATGGAGAGAGCAGGAATACAAGGAACATACCTAAACACAATAAGGGCAATGTACACGAACTAAATGGAGAGAAACTGCCAGCGATCCCACTGAAATCAGGAACAAGACAAGGTTGTCCACTGTCTCCGTATCCATTCAATATAGTTTTGAGGTTCTAGCTAGAGCAATAAGACAACATAAGGAGAACAAGAGGATACAAATTGGAAAAGAAGAAGTGAAACTCTCACTATTTGCTGATGATATCATAGTTTACAAAAGCGATCCCAAAAATTCTATCAAAGAACTTCTACAACACATAAACACTTTCAGTAATGTAGCAGGATACAAGATTAACTCAAAAAAAAAATCAGTAGCTCTCCTGTACACAGACGATTAAAGGGCTGTGGAAGAAATCAGAGAAACATCACCCTTCATAATAGCCACAAATAGCATAAAATATCTCAGAGTATCTCTAACCAAGGAAGTGGAAGACTTGTATGACAAGAACATTATATCTTTGAAGAAAGAAATTGAAGAAGACACAAGAAAGTGGAAAGATCTCCCATGCTCTTGGATAGTCGGAATTAACATAGTAAAAATGGCAATCTTAACAAAAGCAATCTACAGATTGAACACAAAGCCCATCAAAATCCCAGCAAAATTCTTCACAGACCTCAAAAGAACAGTACTCAACTTCATATGGAAAATGAAAAATAAAAAACCCAGGATAGCAAAAACAATCCTGTACAATAAAATACTTCTGGATGCATCACAATCCCTGACTTGAAACTCTACTACAGAGCTACAGTACTGAAAACAGCCTGGTATTGGCATAAAAACAGACAGGAGGACTAATGTACCCTAATAGAAGCCCTAGATATTATTTCAAACACCAAATTTTTGACAAAGAAGCAAAAATATCAAGTGGAAAAAAAAGAAAGCATATATAATAAATGGTGCTGGCATAACTGGATATCAACCTTTAGAAGAATGAAAATAGACCCATATCTATCACCATGCACAAAACTCAAGTCCAAATGGATCAAAGACCTCAACATAAAGCCAGCCACATTGAACCTTAGATAAGAGAAAGTGGGACGTACACTTGAATGCATTGGCACAGAAGACCACTTCCTAGATATAACCCAAGCAGCACAGACACTGAGAGAAACAATTAGTAAATGGGACATCCTGAAACTGAAAAGCTTTTGCAAAGCAAAGGACACTATCAACAAGACAAAATGACAACCTGCAGAATGGAAAAAGATTTTCAACAACTCCACATCAGACGGAGGTATAATCTCCAAAATATACAAAGAACTCAAGAAATTAATCATTAAAAGAACAAATAATTCAATAAAAAATAGAGTACAGATCTAAACAGAGAGCCTTCAACAGTGGAATGCCCGAAAGACACTTAAGGAAAAATGTTCAATAGCCTTAGTCATCAGAGAAATGCAAATCAAAACAACTCTGAGATTCCATCTTAAACCTGTAAGAATGGCCAAGATCCAAAACTCTGATGACAACTTACGCTGGAGGGATTGTGGGGAAAAGGGAACACTTCTGCATTGCTGGTAGGAATACAAACTAGTACATCCCCTTTGGATGTCAGGGTGGCAATTTCTCAGAAAACTAGGAAACGACCTTCCTCAAGACCCAGTTATAGCACTTTTGGGTATATATTCAAAGGATACACAATGGTGCCACAAGAACATATGCTCAACTATGTTCATTGCAGCATTGTTTGTCATAGCCAGAACCTGGAAACAACCTAAATGCCCCTTGACTGAAGAATGGATAAGGAAAATGTGGTACATTTACACAATGGAGTACTGCACAGCAGAAAAAAAAAAATAACGACAGCTTGAATTTTGCAGAAAAATATAACAACAGCTAGAAAACATTATTTTGAGTGAGGTAACCCAGACACAGAAAGACATTTATCACAATTTATCACATGTACTTACTCATAGATGGTTTTTAAACATAAAGCAAAGAAAGCCAGCCTACAAACCATAGTCACAGAGAACATAGACAACAATGAGAACACTAAAAGAGACTTGCATAGATCTAATCTACATGGGAAGTAGAGAAAGAGAAGATCTACTGAGTAAATTGGGAGCATGGAGACCTTGGGGGAAGTTTGAAGCGGGGAGGGGAGAATTAGGGAGAAAAATGTAGAGCTCAATAAAAATCAATAAAAAAATGAAATCAAATGTTGCATTTATCATAGCCTGGTATATTTTATTTAATATGATTCTTTCTTTCTTTTTTTGTTTTTTTTTTTTTTGAGACAGGGTTTCTCTGTGGCTTTGGAGCCTGTCCTGGAATTAGCTCTGTAGACCAGGCTGGTCTCGAATTCACAGAGATCCACCTGCTTCTGCCTCCCGAGTGCTGGGATTAAAGGCATGCACCACCATCGCCCAGCTTTATTCATCCATTTTCCAGCAAATGATTTAATTATTTTGACAGAATAAAACATAAAGTACATATATTTTATATTTTTGGTTTTGTTAATATATTTATTTATTCATTTTCCAACCCAGCTACAGTTTCTCCTTCCTCTTTTCCTCCCATTTCCTCCCTCCTCTCCCCTCTCTTTTCAGCTCCAGTCCACTCCTCCTCCATTTCTGTTCAGGAAAGGGCAAGTCTTCCACGGATAGCAACAACACATGGCATATCAAGATACCCCATGTATTAAGATGACCAAGTGTGAGAAGTAGGGTCCCAATGCCAGTAAAACAGTTTTATTCCATATTTTTATTATTCATTCATTTATTGTGAATGAAATATTTTTTTATCAATTTCTTTCTTTTCAAGTTCATTATTGGTATTTGGAAACATCGTGATACTTTTACTATTTATATTGTATACTAATAGTGTGATGAAAGTGTTTTATCATGGAAGTTTTAGAATATCTAATGTATAGGATCACATCATCCTAAAATGGTAGTAATTGGATTTTTTTCCTTATTTGTTCACCTTTGTTTATTTCTGATTCCTAGATAATCTACCTAAGACCTTAAGGACTGTATGATTAAGAGGTCAGAAAATGGACTTCCTTGTCTCAACCCTGATTTTAAAGTAAGTACTCTGAATTTTTCCTCATTGATATAGTGTTGAATATATGTTTGTCAGAGGTGCCCTGTAGTATGTTGCAATGTGTTCCAAACTTTCAAACCTATCTAGTGTACAAGCTTTGTTATTCTATCTTGGCATTCATTCACTCTTTTAGTTTCCCACTGAATATTTAATATTAATATCAAGATTTATTTTGGGGTTAATCCCATTAAACCACCCAGGGTACAGAAAGATTCACAATGGCAGGCAAAACCTGGATAATTGGATCTGAGGGTAAACAGAATAAATCAACTCCTGTACGTTACCACTACATGCTCTTTATTCCTTCTTGAGAAGAAACAGGGAGAAGAACAAGGGGTGTCTCCATGAGGTTTCTAGTCTTTACAAACATAGTTGAAAAATTCCATAGACCAAGACAATGATAATATGCATATTAAGGTCACAAAAAGGGCAGTCACAAAACAGCACTCTGGAACAGGTGACACCACCCAGGAAACAGCCAGCATCCAAGGGTAAATATCTGACATTACAAACCATTAGATAAAGTTACTAAAGATTCCTGAACCTGGACTTCACCCACACCCAGACCTGCCAGTCTGGTAAGGGCTGGGCATACTGCCTATCTGCTCAGTGCCTATCTTTTATAAAAATTTCTATATGGTTTGTTAGCAAGTAATTTTGTGGGATTGAATCTCTGTAAATTTGACTGTTAGAATGAAGAGTGAATGTTTTGGCTTTAAGGTCTCATGGTGTGGGAGAATGGAAAGGACATTGCATTGCCCCTGCAGGAGAAGTTACACAGCTCATTGTTTTGGGAATGAATCCCATTTTTAAGGGAGAATCACTATGATTTCACAAGATTTAACAGAATTGACAGCAATTTATCCAAAAGTCAAGTCTTCTCACAGGCTCTGCAAAACGAGATGCCCCATAAGTTGTACACTTGTGGGTCTTCCTTTATTAATCTGTGAGCAGTACATTTATTGTACAATACTGTAGCTTCTGATATATTAATTGATTAATTTGCTTTTACACTCTGTCCATAGTTTTTTTTCTCCCTCTTCTTCCAGTCTCTCCCCCACCTCTAGCTTCGTTGTAGCCAGAGAAGCTAGAAAAATAAAGCCATCTAATGTCTACCCTTTGATGTCAGACATGCAGCTGTGGAATTTGCAGTGTGTCCTGCTGTATTTTGGTCTTGCATTGGTCCAGTATGCTCTCACTATACCCCTCTCCTCCTTTATGGAATGATAATTATAATTATTGCCCTTAGAAGTTGGAAGCACTCAATTTGCTTTTTGATTTTACAGAGTTACAATTCAGAAATTGTCTTTACTCTCAGAAGAATCTTTTGAACTTGGATTTTTAAAGTGTTGAGAATTGAAGATGATGAGACCATTTGAAGTTAGATGAAATGCATTTTGCATTATACATTTATTGGGGGCTAGAAGTAGAATACAGTGGTTGGAATGAAAATGATACTTGAATGTTTGTTCCACAGTGGTGGAAATTCTTTTTTTTTTTTTTTTTTTGATTTTTTGATACAGGGTTTCTCCACAGCTTTTGGTTCCTGTCCTGGAACTAGCTCTTGTAGACCAGGCTGGCCTCGAACTCACAGAGATCCACCTGCCTCTGCCTCCCGAGTGCTGGGATTAATGGCGTGCACCACCACCGTCCTGCTAGTGGTGGAAATTCTTGAGAAGAATTGGTAGTTGTGGACTTGTTGAAGGTTTGTCACTAGGTATGAGCTTTGAGGTTTTAAAAGACCCCAGCCATTCCTTACCTTTCTCTCTTTATTATGGTTTTGTCTTAAGACAAGAACTCTTATCTACTGTTCCAGTATTATGTCTTCCTGACTATTATCATCCTCCCTGCCATAATGGTGATAGACTCTAACCATGTGACATCACAAGCCCAAAATTAGACATTGTTTTTTAAGTTGCCTTGATCATTGTGTTTTATCACATCAATAGAAAAGATTCTAACACAATATCCTAGGGCAAGAGGAAATGTTAGAAGCAAGTGACCAAGCATAAAACAGAAATTCATTTATAATGATAAGAGACCAACACAATATTACATAATTTCATTTGTATTTAGGAAGATATAAATTACAACAGTCAACATAGTTTTCATAGAAACAAATACAGAAATGTTAATCAGGATAAGGAAATTATATTTTGTCAAATAAAAAGTTGGTTGTCACCCCTTAATGTATTAAAAATTTCACCATTAGTAATTCTGGCTTCAGTCAATGCAGAAGGAAATACCTGAAGCCAGTCTATTATATTGAAGCTCTTAATGGCAGCTAGACATATAAATTATGTACAGTAAACAGAAAACAACAGGACAAAAATTCTAAGTAAACATAAATTAGACAATTAAAAGAAAGCATAGAAATCTTCAATAACAAGCCTCCTAAGAAGACTTACACTTTGGGTCACACGGATCAGATATCTTACATTTGGACACAGATTAAATAAGTATCTGTTCTTCACAGAGCCATGGCATCAACGAAGCGCGTTCATTCCAGAAGCAGAAGGCAGCTAGATCTCCAGGAGAAGCTGACCAACATGGGGTTGTCTGTTGACTACTGGCTGCCTAAGCTTCAGAAAGACCTGGGTGTGACTAGTGCCCTGGACTTACAACACTTAGGAGAAAGAGAGATCCAGAAGCTGAAGTCCCAGATACAACACACATGGGAGGAAAAGGCTCTGGAAAAGCTGCTTGACATCTCACATCCAAACGGTGTTGCAGAGTTCCAGGAGACTGCAGGGGAGATGATAGAGAGCAGACAGCAGCAGGCAGGACAGGCACTGCAGGAACTGACAGCCTTGCAAATACAAGGGAAACACAGAGAAGACAAAGAAGTTAAGAAAAAAGAAGCAGAGCTGAGACAAGCAATGGAGATCCCTGAAGAATGCTGGATGGATGAGGCAAAAGAACAGTCACAGTGCTTCACCCATGAAAATAAAGAGACTAGTAACCAGCAGCATAATGAAAACAGCAAAGCAGAAATGATAGAAAAAGGATCTTTCTTAAGCTTACTACAACGCCTAGGCCTAGAACATCACTACCCAAAAAAGATGAGCAGAGCTGACTTCCATTTGATCTGCAAGAGTTCTGTACACAAGTCCAAACCAGCATCTGAACAGGAACTTCCCTTCTATTTCCTACAAAAGCTACTGATGCTAGATTGTGGGTTCAGACATCTGGTCCTCAAAGAGGCTGAAAATGAAAAAACCAATAGTTCTTTAGATCCCTGCTATGAGGAAACTGATACTTTTGATCCATTCGAAGACTTGTCTGATGACAGAGATGAACCTACTGATCCTCTGGACACAGAGTCCCAGCCACGCATTCACCCAATGGACATCCAGATGGCCATTTTTCATTGTGCAGATGATCTTGCCAGGCAATACATTTTGTCCAAACTCTCCATTTGTCAGTTTGCACTCCCCCTTTTGGTGCCAAATCCAAACACCTCTCAGATGGAATTCTTTCTCTGGTCTCTCAGACAAATCAGGAGAAGTTGGCAAGAGTCAAGTAAATCAGCACAGGACAAGAGCTACAGTCACAGGAATCAGCAGATGTGCTGTGTCTCTACCCCCATTGTGTCTTTCATTAGAGTTGGAAATGACTTCTCTGCTTCCAAATCTCAGATCATGAACTCTCTGCTCAGTAAAGGTAAACACGATGTGTTTTTTCACAGGTTCTGCAGAGAAAGCAGCAAATATTGTCTCCTGATGGAGGGAGTGGTGGAGATCTCCTGGTTCTGTCCTGGGGGTCAAGGTGAGGACACATTTGATAGGTGTATGGCCTTCACCAATCTTCATGGAGATGCCAAGGACCATAGGCAACAACTCAGCTTCCTGCAGGATATCTCTTCTGTCATTGTGATGGTCATGTCATCTACTGATGACAATAAAGAAAACCAGAATATTGTCAGACACTTGAGTGAGTCCTCAATACCTCTATTGTGTTTGTTGGATAATAAAAAAATTGTCTCAGTCAATAATTCTGGTAGAAGAGTAAGAATTGGCATCAGGAATAGAAATGGGGCAGAAATAAGAGAAGAACTCATAACTGCCATAAAACATTTATTAAAATACTCTAATACTTCTTTGAGCTTAGAAGATTGTTCACAGATGGCTCGAAAACAAGGATTCCTGGTTGATGAAGACCAGAAAGACTGCAAGAAAGCTAAAGAAAAGGCTGAGATTATAACGGCCCAACTAGCAAAACAGACATTATCAAAGATAAAAGAAAACTTACTACCACTTCAGGGAAATCTCTGGCATATTTGGTGTAAGAAGGACAAAGAACTCTATCATCTGACAGAAAAAGGAAATCGGAGTATTGAACAACATAAAAGTGATATTGAGGGAGAGAAACAAAAAATCCGCTTTCAACAATTAGAAAAAGCCTTTCCTCTCAATGATGTAATGTGCTCTTTCCTTAAAACTTTTCAAGAAAATGAAGAAACTCCTTCCAAAGAGTATATCTTGACCTGGTTGAATCTGCTTTTACATAACTTAACTAAAGATCATTTAGAAAAATTACAGGAGAAACAAAGGTCTTTGTGGTTATTAGAACAAACAGAAGGACATAGAAAGTGTAAAAGCAACTTCTTGATTGACCAGCAGAATCAGATAGAAGCCATCACCAAAGAGATTTATGACTGTACATTTGGCATTGAGCACCTACTCCGAGAAGTTGCCCAGATTTATGAAGTTCTGGAAGAAACTTCCTCCCCTAGAGACAGCATTATTCTCTGCCTCCCCCAGATTGCTGCAGACCTGATGGTAGCTGGTCTTCCCATTGAGCTGATGGATGGGGATGCTTCATATGTGCCTCTAAAGTGGGTGGCAGCTGTTTTTGACAAGATCTCTGAGAAAGTTGGAGACAAAAGGTTGTTTGTTCTCTCTATCCTTGGCCTACAGAGCTCAGGGAAGTCCACCCTACTGAATGCACTGTTTGGGCTGCAGTTCACAGCCAGTGCAGGCAGGTGCACCAAGGGGGCCTACATGCAGCTCCTGAAGGTGGAAGAGACATTCACAGAAGAACTTGGCTTTGATTTTCTGCTCGTTGTAGACACAGAAGGACTGCAGGCTCCAGAACTCAACAGCAAATCCCAGAATTGGGACAATGAGTTGGCAACATTTGTTACTTGTCTTGGAAACTTGACTCTGATCAATATATTTGGGGAGAATCCAGCAGAGATGCAGGATATCCTTCAAATAGTTGTCCAGGCTTTTCTCAGAATGAAACAAGTGAAAATCTCCCCAAGTTGTATCTTTGTCCATCAGAATGTGGGAGAAGTTACAGCTAAAGACCAAACTATGGAAGGACGAAGGAGACTGGAGCAGAGACTGGATGAGATGACCGCATTAGTTGCTGAGTTAGAAGAATGCTCAAACATAACCCGCTTCAGCGATGTAATCAAATTTGATGTTAAGAATCATGTCTATTACTTTGCTCACCTCTGGGATGGCAATCCCCCAATGGCCTCTCCCAATCCTTATTATAGCTACAATGTCCAGGAATTGAAGAGTGTGATTCTTCAGACTGCCCAGCAGGAATCCAGGGGAAGGATCAAGAAAATCTCAGATATAAAATTCCGAGTTCAAAATTTGTGGAAAGCCCTGGTCAGTGAAAATTTCATTTTCAATTTCAGAAACACTAAGGAAGTCATAGCCATGAACAAACTGGAAACTATGTATAATCACTGGACCTGGGAGTTGAGGAGTTATGTTCTGGAATTACAGAACCAGTTGAACAATCAGATTCAGAATTCAAAAATAAAGACGATCACAATCAATACACTAGAGGGTCCACTTCACAGAAAATATGAAACCATCAAGAAAGAGTTTGACAAGTATTTTGAAGAAGATCCAGAGAGTGAAATATTGATTCAGTGGAAAACTTATTTTGAGCAGAAGCTACAAATGCTTAACGAATCACTTATTTTAGATACCAGAAAGAAAAGCAATGAGCTTATCAATCTTAAACAAAGCCAAGAAAGACTAGATAACCAAATATCACAATATGAAAATGAACTGTTAGAGAAGAGCCGAGAGTTGGCTTTAAGTGTGAAGGGTAAAGAATTCAGTGATGAAGAGTTACATGAGAAATTCAATCAACTTTGGACAAATTGGATCTCCAATGTGACTCCAAGTGTTCCTCTTGTGACAGATCCTAACATTGATTTGGATTCTGAAAATATCCTTCTGGAGCATTTCAAGAAAGAGAAAAATATTATAGAAAAACTAAAAAGGGACTCTGGAGACATGTTTGAAATAAACTATGACAAACATATCCAAATGAAAAAACGACATGGCTTAATCCGCATGAGTTTAGAAACCTCACATAAAGAATCTATTAAAATTTTTACTTCTAATATTGATTTAAGATTTAATGAAACAATCAAAAATATTTGGAAGCAACAGTGTGGTTACAATCAGAATGATTTCCATGAAATCCTGAGGATAGTAGAAAATGAAGTGAAATCTCTTCCCCAGGAGGAGGACTACATATTAACCAGAGACTACATCATTGACTTATCCTTGTGCTTATTCCAGAAAGCATCAAAGATTTTCAAGGAAATGCATGAGGCATTCAAGATGGCAAATGATCCTGTGAACTATATGAAGAGAAAGAAAGAGGATTTTTTCATGAGTTTTAAGATGCACTGCCAAGGTACCACCTCCATCACATCCATTGTTGTCTTCCTTTGGCTTAAGCTTACTCCTGCTATATCTGCCACTGTATGGAGGGAAATGGTTAGTAAAGTAACTGGGGATATGCAATCCATGTGCCCTGCATTCAATGGAAACAGGGCTAACCTGGAGAAACACATTCTCATTTCTCTGGCAGAAGAAGAAAATTTTGAGAAGTATTGGAAATATGTTCATTATCCAGAACCATTTTTTAGAGAATACATTACAGAGCACATTATAAGGTACTGCTCAGAAAAAGGTGAGAAATTAAAGACATTTTTAAAAATAAGTTTAGAGGACATCAAGAACACCATCCTCTCTGCTGTTCAAAATGCCACAGAAGTAACTAAAGATGATAGCAGCACTGCTTCTCGCTGGTTGGATTTGTTCTGTGATCATCTAGGGAGCCACGTGATCTTTCCAAAAAGAGACCTGATAAGCATAGAGCACCTGGAGATAAAGGACACTGAGTTTCTCAAAGAATCCATGAGTGCAGCTTTGGATCCTGCACTGAGGAAAGTCAAAGAGGACTGCTCAAGTAAGCCCATAGATGAAATGGTTCCTGACATTGAGAAAATTCTCTCTGCCCAGCTCTGTGGCTGCTGGAAACAGTGTCCTTTCTGTAAAGCAGTTTGTACCAACACCATTCCTGAACACGAAGGAGACCACAGTGTGTCACTCCACCGTCCTCAGGCTGTACGTGGAGCTAAATGGAACAAAACAGAGGACTTTGTCATTGAATTCTGTACTAGTTTAGTAGCAAGTGATTATCCTTTTTTTGTAAATGACTTGCAATATTCATACAAAAGATATCGAGAAGCAGGAGATAACTACGCCAGGTGGAGCATCACTCCAGACTCATCTCCCCAGTCATACTGGAAATGGTTTGTCTGCCACTTTAAAACAGAGCTAGAAAACAAATATGGCAAAAAGTTTATTGA